AAGCAAAACTTGAGAGTTCATCGCTGGTAAACCTGCCTAATAAAAACTAAAGGGAATCCTTTAGCCTGGAATGAAAGAACACAAGAGAGTAAAATCCACATAAAGAAATAAAGAGCACCAGGAAAAGTAATTACATAGTAGATACAAAGAATGCTGTAGGTGTAGTTTTTGTAACTTTCTTCTCCTATCTTATTGAAAAGGCAGTTTCAGAGGACATAATTCTAAATCAGGGTAGCTGAATATACAATGTTTAAAAATGTAGGTTTCATGACAGTAACAGTACAAAGGATGGGAAGGGAGAGGGAATGGACCTATAAAGGAACAAAGCCTGTGTATACTATTGTAATTAAGTTCGTGTTAATCTGAACTAGGTTGTTATAGATAAATTAATGTTCATTGTAATCCTGGGACAATCACTAAGAAAATAACTCAAAGAAATATAATAAAAGAAAGAAGAAGGAAATGAAAATGGAAGAAAATATCATTTTAACAAAAAAGGCATCAGTAATAGAGAAATAATCAAAAGAGACATAAGATACATACACAACAAATGATAGAATGGCAAACATAAATTCAACATTTACAGTAATTATGTTAAGTGAAACTGACTTGAACCCTCTAATTAAAAGGTGGACACTGGCTGACTGGATTAAAAAAAACATTATTTAACCACGTGTTGTCTATAAGAGACACACTTTAGATTCAAAGACACAAAAAGGTTGAAAGTAAAATCTTGGGGGGGGGGGGGACCTGGCTGGCTGACTTAGAAAAACATGTGACTTTGGATCTCATGGTTATGAATTCAAACCCCACATTGGGCCTATAGATTACTTAAAAAATAGTAAAATCTTTAAAAAAAAAAGTAGAATCTTGGAAAAGGATACACTATGGAAACAGAAACCAAAAAAAAAGCTGGGATGGTAATATAAAAATCAGATAAAAACACACTCTAAGACAAAAATTATTATCAGAGACAAAGAAGGGCATTTTACAATGATAAAAGGCCAACATATTAAAGACATAAAATCATAAACATATATATATAGTTTAACAGAACTCCAAAATACATGAAGCAAAAATGGACAGAATTGAAGGGAGAAATAGACAAGTCACAATAATAGAGACGGGGCACCTGGGTGGCTCAGTGGGTTAAGTCTCTGCCTTTGGCTCGGGTCGTGATCCCAGGGTCCTAGGATCGAGCCCCGCATCGGACTCTCTGCTCAGCAGGGAGCCTGCTTCCCTCTCTCTCTGCCTGCCTCCCTGCCTATTTGTGATCTCTGTCTGTCAAATAAATAAATAAATCTTTAAAAAATAATAATAGTTAGAGACTTTAATATCCCACTTTCAAAAAACGGATATGACAACTATAAAGAAGATTAACAAGAAAACAGAAGATTTGAACAACATTACAGACCAATTAGGCTTAAGTACTATCTATAGAACACTCTATCCAACAACAGCAGAATACAGATTTTTCTCAAGTACGCATGAAACATTCTCCAGGATATGTAACATTCTCCATAGACCATACGTTAGCCATAAAACAAATCTCAATAAATGTAAAAGGACTGAAATCATACAAACTATATTTCTGACCACAACAGAATGAAATTAGGAATCAATAACAGAAAAAAAATGAGGGAATTAACAAATACATACAAATTAAACAATATACTGCTAAAGAACAGATGGGTCAAAGAAGAAATCACAAGAGAAATTAGAAAATACTTTGAGATAAATGAAAATGCACCATAAAAAAACTAATGGGATAGAGAGAAAGCAGTAGAGGGAAATTTATAGCTATAAAAGGCCTTAAATCAATAACCTAAATTTCCACCTTAAGAAACTAAAAAAAGAGCAAACTAACTCCAAAGCAAGCAAAAGAAAGAAATAACATTAGAGGGGTAATTAATGAAATAAAGAATAGAAAACAATGGCAAAAACTCAAAAAAATTTGTTTTTTTTAAAGATTAATAAAATTGACAAGATTTTAGCTAGACTGACCAAGAAAAAAGGGAGAAGACTCAAATTGATAAAGTCAAAATGAAAGTGGGGATATTACTAGCAATCCTACAAAAATAAGGATTATGAGGGAATATTATGAACAATTCTATGCCAAAAAATTAAACAATCTAGGTGAAACATACAAATTCTTAGAAAGACACAAACTACAGAAAACACATCAGGAAGAAACAGAAAATCTGGGGTGCTTGGGTAGTTCAGTTGGTTAAGTGCCCGACTCTTTTTCTTTCAGCTCAGGTCATGCTATCAGGGTCATGAGATCAAGCCCCGCATCAGGCTCCACTGAGCGTGGAGTCTGCTTGAGTTTCTCTCCTTCCCCCTCTACCCCTCCTTCCTGCCAGCACAGTCCTCTCTCTCTCTCTCTTTTTCAAATAAATAAATAAATAAATAAATAAATAAAATCTTTAAAAAAAAAAAACAAAGAAAGAAACAGAAAATCTGAACAAACTGATAATGATTGAACTAGTTATCAAAATTTTTTCAAACTCAGGCCCAGATGGCTTCACTGGTGGATTCTACCAAACATTTAAAGAAGAACAAAACTGGGGTGCCTGGGTGGCTCAGTTGGTTAAGCATCTGCCTTTGGCTCAGGTCACGATCTCAAGGAACTGGGATTGAGACCCCCATCAGGCTCTCCACTCAGCGGGAAGTCTGCTTCTCCCTCGCCCTCTGCTCCTCCCCCTGCTCATGTGCTCTGTCTCTCTCTCCCCGTGCAGGGGGACACACTCTCTTCCTTCCTTTCAAATAAATTCTTAAAAAAAAAAAAAAAAAAGAAAGTGAAAAGATAAGCCACAGAATAGAACACTTTCAAATCATACATCTTATCAGGAACTAGTATCTATGATAAAAAAAAATACAGGAAGTGAACTCTTAGCAACAATGAAAAGACAATCCACTTAAAAACTGAAGGAACAAAGGATCTTGACTGACACTTTTTCAAAGATATACAAATGGCCAATTAGCACATGAAAAGATACTCAAATGATGACTCACACAAACCAAAACCAGTGAGATATCACTCATATCCATTAGTATGGCTATAATCAAAAAGACGGATTCTAACAAATGTTGACAATGATGTAGAAAAATTGGAACTTCTATATGTTGCTGGTGGAAATGTAAAATGGTATCATCACTTTGGAAAACAGTTCAGCAATTCCTCAAAACTTAAACACAGTTACCTATAAGCAGTTCAACTTCTATGTGTATACATAAGAGAACTGAAAACCTATGTTCACACAAAGACTTTGACATGAATGGCAGCATTATTCGTAACACCCCAAAAATGGAAACCACCCAGATGTTCATCAACATGATGAATGGATAAACAAAATGTGTCATACCATCCTGGAGAGTATCCTTCAACCACAAAAAGTAATGAAGTACTGATACCTGCTATAACATTATATTAAGTGGGAGAAGTCAGTCACAAAAAACTACATATTGCAGAATTTCATTTTTATGAAAAGTCCAGAATAGGGAGATCCATACAGAGACAATACATTAGTAGTTGCCAAGGACTGGGGAGAAGGAGAAATTGGGGAGTGACTGCTAATGGGTATGGAGGTTTTTTTGGGAGTGATGAAAATGTTCTGAAATAACACAGTGGTGAATATTCTTAAAAACCACTGAATTATACACATTTTAAAATTTTTTTCAAATTTTTATTTAAATTCTAGTTAGTGAACATACAGTGCGATATTGGTTTCAGGAGTAGAATTCAGTGGTTCATCACTTACACACAACACCCAGTGCTCATCATAACAAGTGCTCTCCTTAATACTCCTCTGCCATCTACCCACACCCCACCCACCTCCCTCCATCAAACCCCCTGCTGTTCTCTATCATTAAGAGTCTGTTATGGTTTGTTTCCCTCTCTTCCCCCCCCCCTAATACATGTTCATCCATTTTGTTCACTAAATTCCACATGAGTGAAATCTTACAGTATTTGTCTTTCTCTGACTTATTTCGCTTAAGCATAATACATTCTAGCTCCATCCACATCATTGCAAATGGCAAAGATTTCATTCTTTTTTGATGGCTGAGTAACTGAATTATATGCTTTTGAAATAAGGAACAGTAGATGCCTTCAAAATTCTCCAAGATGATTATTTTCAATCTAGAATTTCAAGTATGAACTTAAATACTGGGAAAAGAGCAGGGGAGGTTAGGTCGGGGAGGGGAGGTGCTCTAAAAGAGCTAACTCCTCAGCTACTGTAACAGAAAGCTAATATTTGCTCTTGAAAATTTTTATGTTTCAGAAATTGTAATATCAGGATACTACTGAAAAATATCCCAATAAGTCCCAGAAAAAATAACTAAAAGACAATAGTGACCCACAAATGGCCAGGAACTAATATATTTGATTTTTAAACTCTTTGCATTTATTACTTTAAAACAAAATTTACAATGATTATTTAAAAAAGAGAATCATCATACTCTAAGAAACTGGACTATCTGAACGATGAAGTAGAAAAACCCTGAAGTCAGAGCCTGATTTCATGTTCTGTGGCATTTATTTGCTCTGAAATTATGAGCTACTCACTGTGTCTTAGTTTCCTCATCTGTAAAATCAACAATAAGATTACCTGTGCTCCTAAGTAAAGAGCTTTTATGAGAAGCAAATGAAATAAAAGTAGATCGAAAAACATTGTTTAAAAATGAAACATTATATACTATCTATATAACACTGTAAACATTCAGATGTTTTAGCTTTTACTTATCCAAGTGGATATTCAAGATCACTGCTAAACTGTCTGTCTTCAGGATTTACTTTTCCTTGAATAATCTGGATTATGGACCAGAATAAAAACAGACTCAGGGGATAATTTCCAGACTCTGCCAGGTAAATGAAGCAATGTGCTTATTAACTATTAGAGGTAGGATTTCTTTCTCCCAAGAATAAGTTATGTCTTCAGGAAATTATGTACATGCCTGTGCATCAATTAAAACAAACAAACAAGCCAGAAAACACTTACCTTCACAGTCAAATCCTCATTACCCAGTGTGATGTGGACTTGAATAGGAGGGTAAACACCTTTGTCAGCATGGTGTTCCATCGTTGCTCTCATTGCATTCTGAAATATATTACGGTTCCATTCAAAATACAACTTCAAAAAAAGACTAATTATAATTTTAAATATATATATATATATGATATGAGATTTTAAAAATTTTAATTTGTTGGAGATAGGCCAAAGTATCACAATTCTTGTATTTGAAGAATTTTCAAAATTATTGTCAATTTTGGAGGACTTTTGAAATACTCTGATTTAAAGATTTCAACTAAATTCTGCACATTTTCCAAAACCAGGCATCTCAACACTTTGACTAGTTTACACTGAAGCTGAAGATTCTATCCAAATACGTCTATAATTTAGTAGGTAACAAGTAAACCTTATTTTTGAAAAGTTTTGTCCCTATTTTTAAGAATCATTTTAATGGCCATAGATTACTTTGAAGGAAAAAAAAATTTTTTTCATGTAGTATTCACAGTAGTGGTCTTATTATGATGTAGAAACTAATCCAATTCTCCACTAGTTTGAAACTAAGGATATTTACACTGTGAAACTGTTTTGATCAATTCCTAAAGGATACACAGTACACAATGCCAACATAGTATAAGCACAAAAAGATAACATGACATGTAGCATTGCAATAGAAATTGATAAAACTCGATTTGGTTAAAAAGGCAAAAGATGGGGCTGAATTTGGAAATAGGAGTGTGTGACCAAGGCATACCCATCAGGGTTGAGTATCCCTGGGGAAGAGATGCTATCATCTCTACCAAAGGCTATTTAAGATTTGGTTCCAAATGAAAGCCATTATTAGTGACACTATGTAAAATCTATTATAGAATATGATATTTCTTTTATTAAGCATCATGGGGAATAAGATCTTTAGTAACTGAAATTTTAAGGAAAAATTAATTTTAATCCCTTAAGTGCCAATTGCTTATTTATTTAACCAGTTGGATAGAAAGATTTTTTGTAAGGTATTCGATACATTCTTGCTGTCTAAGGAACAAAAGAGCATTCTTGAACTCTTGCTGTTCTAAGAATTCAGTCAGATTTTCCGTGTTTCAGAGTATTTTTCTTTTTCATGATCAGACTGAAAGTCACCTCTGCTCTCTACTAGTTGACTACTGGCTCAAGACACGGTAACTAAAGTAAGAGAAACTGACTATATAGGCTTGATTTAGGGCAGTCATTTTCAGCTACGAGGACCTGTACCACTCCTCATCACTCACTTTTCTGTGTATCACCAAGCGTCACTGGTGGGTTATTAGGGGATAAAGTACTCAACATTTCTAGCATAATTTTATTTAGTTTTTGAAATTTGTTGTAAAGAGCAAATATAATAGCAAAAGCCCTGTAAGCCAATATAAATGACTTTCTCAACCCTCCCCCCCAAATATATAATAGTGGGACTCTGGTCTTCTAAGGGTGGAAAATTGAGAACCATTCTTCTAAATATTCTATTTTGTAAAAATAGAACTTTATTGAACACTTACCCTGAGCTACCATTGTTCTGGACACTTAGTAGGCTACTCCCAATCTTCCTAACAACCTGGATAGTATTATCCTCATTTTATAGAAGAGGAAACATAGGCTCAAAAAGGTTGACTGATTTGTCCAATGTCACACAGAGATTAAATGGCAGAACTGGAATTCAGGCCCAATTCTTTCTGTCTTCCAAGTACAAGCTTACCACTACACTAAAGTTCCCATCAGCAGGGAGAAAACGCTGATCTCCAGCAATGTGACATGACACTGAGCATGAAATGACATCTTGAAATGCAAGGGAGAAAAACCTGGTAGAGCAGATCCCTAACCTCAGGAAAGGACTGATAAAGGTTATGTAATACTATTTTACAAACCTTGAAAAGTTCAAACACCATGTGATAGAGATGGGATGGTACATAAACCACTTGTATTGGCTGTCCTGGTGATTTTGCTACAGAGCAGAAGAGAAAAATATGAAAGTACAGAGAGATGTGCTTAAAGCATTTTCAAGAATATATTGTGTAGTGATGAAAAGAAAACATTTACTATGGAGGGTAGTATTATTTGGGGGAGAACTGCCATCCCTGTTCTTCACTGCGTTAGTGTTTGACCCCACATTCACACAGATTTATAACTGATGGTGACAACATGAGTTTGCAGTCATTCTTGTGATCCTGCATAACTGTTAGCCAACCCAGCTTCCCATTTTCACTATGATGGTGAGTCTTTTAAAAGGACTCTCGGCCTTAAGGTCAGAATTTTATTTTCCAAAACAAAATCGTTAAAGTCTTATCTAAGTTCCATGGTCCAACTCACATCAATATACTATTTTTTTAAAAAGTCATTTTTTAAATGTTTCACCATATGCAATGTTTTCTGTTTTATTTCAGGCATTTCTATGGATACAGATCTGAATTAAATTAAGCTAGCATCAATTTATCAAGGGATATGAATTCTACAGTCAAACATTTTATTAAATTTAGAAGCCCAATTGGAGATGCAGTGGCAGGGCAGGGGGAGGGGGGCAGGAAGGAAGTATGTAAAACAGAACTTTAAGTAGAGCAAAGGAGTAAGACTCACCATACCTTAGAATTCTAATTGATCCAATAAATTGGACTCTCCTCTGAATAAACCGCCCCGTGGAAACATGGATGGGACACCTGGAAACTGCTCACAGTTCAGGTTCCTAAACTATCATTTGTGCATTGTGATTCTTTACTGAGTGGTATTGTTATGAAACAAAAGAGTTAATATGGCTTTAGAAAAACACCAAACAATTCTATTTTCAAGTGAAGAACTTCTTCCACTGTTCTCCCACTGTAAGGTCCAGAATACAGTTTAGGAAAAGCCTATTTAATTGTATTCTTAAAGGGACATCTTAACTTAGTAACTGTTTTTCCCTCTACCCAACTACCCCACCCCCACAGAAACACAATCAGATTTATCAACTTCCTTCCAAGACATGTCTTCCTTCCAAGACATCAGAATTTTTTTTTTTTGTCCAAAAGGTACTAGTCAGGGTGAAAAGATCATCAAAGATAAACAGATTCTCAAACAGAAGAGCATTTTTCTTTCCTCTTTATACCTCCAGTCTTTTTACTTCCTCAACAATAAAAAATGATTCACTACTCAGGAAACAGAATTCTTAAAGGGTGAATTTTACATTATTGGAGTACATATAACAGTCAAACGCAATTTTCTTGGCATCATTTTTTCTACAACCAAAACAGAACAAAAATAAGGAAAGAATGAACATCATCAATTAAATATACACAAAATGGGGAAGAAGAGCCCAAAATGCTTTTCAAACAGAATCCAACTAAATTACACACACACACACGTGCACACGTGCGTGCGCGCATATGCACACACAATTCTTAACATGACTGCTCTCCCTCAGCCTTCATCTTCAGTAAAGAAGTTGATGAAAAGTCCTTTTATATTAAGACACATCTAAATTCTTCTTATCATTGCTTCTCAGATAATCACAACACTAATCATTGAGGAAAAGACACCACCACGCTTACCATTTAGTTCTTCAAGTTCTAGTTCAGGAGAGTTAATATAATACAAATCACACAGACGCCTAGCATTTTCATAGCCATCTAGTGTGAATCAAAACAAAAAAAAAAGCATTAAAATAAATTTACTTCTATATCACGCATTAAGGTGGCAATAGTACTGATCAATGAAATTTTAAAACTGTCTATAGGTGAAAATATACTTCAATTATCTTATTTGGGGAAGGTCTTCTTAAGTATGACATGACAAAACCTAATACCCATGAAGGAAAAATGACAGATATGATTATATGAAAATAAAGACATCAAAATAGAAGACACCATAAACAAAGTAAAAACAGCAAGGTGAAGGAACTATTTATAATACATGTAACAAACATGTAGAGTTGGTGAAAGTTTAGAATACAGATACTCTCATTCATTATCTGATACCTTTTTGGAGGTATCAAAATTTTAAATGCATTTTAAATGTCTTGAATGTTAGGAATCTTTCTTTCTAAAATACTAGCAAAGTCAGCAGATAGCTAAATATGTTCACTGCAGTATTGCTGCTGGTAATAAAAAAAAAATGAAAACCGCCTAAACATGAAGCAACAGAAGGATGGATTAATACATTCTGATATACCCATGAAGCCATTCAAAACCCTGAAGTGTATTGATATGTACTGAACATGGAATGATGGCTCTAAACTTGTAGAGAAAAATACATATCGCACCCATTTTCCAAAACAAACAATGTAAGACCAACAATTACATATGTATAGGAGTATATGTGGCATAAGAGGAAAAAGTGTGGAAAGATGCAAACCAAACTATTATGAATTATGGCTCGTCGTATAGGGTGATATATACTTTTTGAAGTGAAACAGATATCCCCACAGTATCACCATACTTTGCCTAACAAAGTATATCAACAAAATATTCATTCTATATATAATGTACAATTTAACGTCATAAACTTATTTTCAAATCCATATATTTGCCCTAACACTTTATCTCAAGATATAAATAATTGTTTTAATAGCAAGCAATAACACCCGGGCTGCCTGGTTGACTCAGTGGGTTGAAGCCTCTGCCTTCGGCTCAGGTCATGATCCCAAAGTCTTGGGATCAAGCCCCACATCGGGCTCTCTGCTCAGCAGGGAGCCTGCTTCCCTTCCTTTCTCTCTGCCTACTTGTGATCCTGTCAAATAAATAAATAAAATCTTTAAAAAAAAAAAAAAACTACTTAACAATTTTGATTTTTGCATCTTTCCTGAAAGAAGAAATATAAATATTTACCTTTAATAACTTCAACTACATCGCAGTTTGGATTTATGCTTCCAATGTGTTTTCGATGAGCTGGGCTTCCTTTGCCTTTTCCACCAAACAATAAAGCTATCAAAAAAAAAAAAAAAAGAACAAAATAAGCTATAACTCTCTATAACTGCTTTTTCCAGATTTGAAGACTGTTTCTCTAAATGGTACCAAACAGTAGATATTCTCCTTAAATATACACATAGTATTTTACATTCAATGAAAATACCTCCTTTGTACGGTAATTTACTTAATATACAAAAAAGCAAAATTAAATGTTTCCAAAGAGAAGTTTTCTAAATAAGTTTAAAATATACGTATATATTCATTTCATTTTGCTTCTTCTCTTGACTTCTGGATACTTACAGTGCTGATTGAGTAACATTCTAATTGAAATGCGACTCATGTAGAAACGATCCAAAAAGTACTGAACATTCTGGCTGGTGACAGGATCCACCCCAAAGCTCTCCTTGTATTCAATCACACCCTGGGCCATCGTGGGAATAACATCATTGTGTCGGTTCCTGATCCGGATCACAGTATCTGTAAAGCTAAACAAACCTGACTTGTCAAAATTGCCAAATGTTTAGACAAGTGAATTTAACACCAAAATGTAAGTTTAACTAACCTATACTAGGCAAGAAATCCCCGATACAGTAAAAAAGACCACTGGTGTATGTTTTCTTATGCTTATTTAAATAAATTTCAGACCATAAATACACAAAATCAATGACAGTACAAAATTCTCCAAAATAAAACTTTTGAAACTTATTTTCTTGGAACTCCTAAAAAATAAGGCTGCCACAAAACACAATCCTAAAAATGTTAAGGGTTTTCTTTAACCATTATCAGCTCAGATCATCTAAGCAATCCCAATGAGGAAAGTATTCCTAGGATGTTCAGCATTAAGAGAAGACAGTGTTTGCTTCTAGGGAACACATGCTCTGTAAGGAATAAAGATGAATGAACCAATAAAGCCTGCCTGTTTGGGGAACTATTCCCTATGGCTCCAAGAGAGAAAGAAACCACTGAGAAAAGTAAAAGAAATTCTAATTTCATTGAATCTATTAAGTTTAAAAATGGGAGAGGAAGAGTCTACTGTTGTGTTAAAAGAAAAATTTCTGAGTCATCCAGCCTTCCCACTTCTGTCATTTAGAAGACATTATTGCATTTAAAGACCTAAATAAAAGAGAAAAGTCTTAATTATGAAATAACAAAATCCATCTTGTAACATACCCATCAGAATTTACACTTCTGAATGAGTGCTTTCCCATTCAAAGTCATCATCTTGAGTACTATTAACTTATTTCAATGATGCTCTCACGGCTCAAAATATTTTTGGAATTCCTAGTTGTAATCTGCTTCAAAACCAAACTGCTAATCTCAAATACAAACAAGAGAACTCCTCAAAAACAACAAACAACTCATCATTTCTAGTCACCCTTTATTTCACTTCTCTCTTTTCAAAACCCCAAACAGTATTATTCTGCTTGATTGCTCTCTGTCTTTTTTAGATTCAGCTCTAACCATTTTCAGAAGGTTTTGTAGCATAATATTTAAGTAAGAGGGCTTCAGTTCAAATCCTAATGCTACCCCTAGTTGGCTATTTGAGTTCAATGCTACCTTAAGTTTCTTAACTTCTTTGTGCACAGATAGCATTAACTGAATAGCATTGTTTTAAAGATTTAATACATAGTGTGCTTTATACGTAGGCAGAGAGTAAATCCTTGATCTTATTTTCAGACCAAAACACATTTAAAAAGTGAAATGTTGCCATCATCTTTAAAGACAGTAAAAAAAAAAAAAAAGTGTAGTGAACGCTAAGGACAGTGAAAGAAGTGGTCTTTAAGTTCTGAGCAACATTCATTGGAATAAGCAGGTAACTTCTTAGAGGACTACCTGGGTTTATCAATTCTGGTATGCTAGTTATTAAATTGGTTATATTACTTTCATTATCTTACAGGCCAAAGGTCATAAAGTGAGACTTACAGACATGTTTTTATAGGCCTTCAGTATTTAAAAAATTTGTTTTAATTAGTTGCAATCTTCAAAATTGGGAGATTTTAAAAGTCTAAGCTTACTGCTTTTCTTTAAACACACGCACAAAAATCAGACAATCCAGATAGTATTTGTGCACTGGCAATGACCCGCCAGTGTTGAAGGTGGCATGCACTCTCCAGGTTGAGTCCTCACCAGTTCCCTACCATCCAAATGGCTCCGAGGCCACATCTAGATTTCCACTGATCACCACACTTTAACTGTGTCTTTTCTTATATTTACTGACTTATGGTATTTGTAGTACCTATATGAGCTGCTATAGACACATACTATCATATGTTGTGGAGTGGAGAGAAATTGAAAGTTAATTTCCCTAAAGTGACCCAATAGCAGGTTTAAGCTCAATATACTTATATTTTTTATATGACATTTAAAGAGTATAAAAATTGTATTGAGAATAGGATCAAAATAGTGAACTTACTCATAAATAGTTTTAGCATCTTCAGCACTTTTGTCTTTAAATTCAAGAAGCTCCTGAAGACTCTGGATATACCTAAAATGCAAATCAGTGGGGTAAATTTGTTCTTTTACATTTTCGAAGTTCAATATTGTAAAAATACTAAAAAGGTATTTTTAATTTTAACATCTTTTTATTTTTAATTTACAATACTGCTACAAATTATGGTTGAAGTAGGATTTTTAGACCCATTCACATTTAAGCAAAGTGCCTGGCACAAAGTAGTAGAAAGTGCCTTTTCCCCTAAAAACATAGGTTAAATTAAGAATTTCAGGATGTTGGGTGCCTGGGTGACGCAGTTGGTTAAGTGACTGCCTTCGGCTTGGGTCATGATCCCAGCATCCTGGGATCCAGTCACACAATGGGCTCCCCCTACTTTGCAGGGAGCCTGCTTCTCCTTCTCCCTCTGCCTGCCACTCCCCCTGCTTATGCTGTCTCTCTCTCTCTCTGTGTCAAATAAATAAAATCTTAAAAAAAAAAAGAAAAAAAAAGAATTTCAGGATTTTGCAGCACCTGGGTGGCTCAGTTGGTTAAGTGGCTTCCTTTGTCTCAGGTTATGATCTCAGGGTCCTGGGATGGAGCCACCCCATCAGCAGGGAGTCTGCTTCTTCCTCCCCTTTTGCCCCTCCCCCTACTTCTGTGCATGCTGGTGCGTGAGCACATTCTCTCAAATAAATTCAATAAATAAATAAATAAAATCTTTTAAAATAATAATTTTAAGATTTCCCACTTCTTTTTTTTTAAGTTATATACTCTAAAATAATTTTTCATTATCTTAAATTTACCACTCTATAGTATAAATGCTGATTGTCAATGGAACTGAGTTTGTTACCATGAACTATGTGATCTGGGGCAAATGACTTAACTTGTCTTAGTTTCAGTAAAATGTGCAAGCCTGCCTACCTCAGTCTATGAGTCTAACTTAACACCTGAGCTTTAAAACCTTATATGCCTTACAGGACTTGAGTGTTTAAAAAAAAAATGTTTAATTAGTTGCAATCTTTCAAAACTGGGAAATTCTACATTAAAAATCTAGACTTTTGACTCTTCTTTAAATACACAAAAATCAGGGGCGCCTGGGTGGCTCAGTGGGTTAAAGCCTCTGCCTTCGGCTTGGGTCATGATCCCAGGGTCCTGGGATGGAGCCCCACATTGGGTGCTCTGCTCTGCGGGGGGCCTGCTTCCTCCTCTCTCTCTGCCTGCCTCTCTGCCTGCTTGTGATCTCTGTCTGTCAAATAAATAAATAAAATCTTTAAAATAAATAAATAAATAAACAAATACACAAAAATCAGATGATCTGGACAGGGTTTCTGCATTGGCAATGATCAGCTAGCGCTGAAGGTGGTTATCCTTTGGAAGCATGCACGCTCCAGGTTAATAGCTTATGTCCATCAACATCCAGTCAACAAACACTTGTTAAAATAATTTACCACATAGTTCTTTTAAACAGAGCTGAACAAAAACAAAAGTCATGAAAATGTAGGTTTTTAATTTACCTAACAATTCAAGGTGGCAAATCACCTGTTAAGGACAGAGCAAAATGAGGAGAGCCAAATGACTTCATCAAGGTCATGCTGCCAGGCACAATAGCAGTCCAGGGCCAGAGGTGAAAACACTTCACTACTACTATTCAGTAACCTTCTAAGATACAGGGTCTGCTTCGGTTGCTCGGTTGGCACTTTATCTACAAATGTCTTTAGTAGGGATCCAGCAGGCAATGAAAGTGTTTTTAAAAATCTGTAAATCCATATGTTGGTTTGGAAAGCTGTTCTTGACAAGCACGGCTCCTCTCTGCAGTCCAAAGCATTCCAAAGTCAAGTGATTCTGGTATTTGCTTTAACCCTCACTTTTCTCTTCACTGGCAAGAAAAACTATGTATGCTCTTTATTCAAGAGATAGTTGAGCACCTACAATGTTTTGAGTGCAGATTAGATTTCAAAATGTAGCATATTCTATTTTTAACGAAGAATTTTCAAAACAGGAATATGCTTCCATAGAAAACTACATGTTCTCATTTATATTCCATCATAGTTCCTAACAAATGCCTCTTCTCTAAACCGTATTTATAACTGTTCCGTATTTGAACTACAGATAGCAAGCATCTCAGTAACACATATTATAGCAATCATACTTCTTTTGCTTTTTTTAAAAATAATATTTTATTTATTTGACAAGGAGAGAGACAGCGAAAGCAGGAGAGGGAGAAGCAGGCTTCCCGCCAAGCAAGGAGCCTGATGTGGGGCTTGATTCCAGGACACTGGGACCGTAACCGGAGCTGAAGGCAGACACTTAATGACTGAGCCACCCAGGTGCTCCTCACTTGTCTTTTAAAATTGAAGTTCTATCAGTTTCTCCTACAAACTATGATACCTACAAAAAAAGCTAAGATCTCCATGAATAGTAACTGGGAAAAAATCTTGCAGCTACCTTTTGTTTTCTATCTACGACTGAACACTGGTAAACTCATTCATTTGAAATGTATAGTGCTTAAGAGACTAGTACTCTTAAATTAATAAGATTACCAAGAAAGGCTGTATTTAAGTGACCACATATGTATGCACCCCCACTGTCATATTTCGGAAGAGAGATCATAGTTTCTTATATGATTCTACTAACTTCTAATTATTTTTAAATGGTAGAAAAAAGATTTTAACTTTTGTGTTCGATAAAGATATACTGCAATAAAACAAATTCAGTTTATTAAAAAATATATACATGCTTTAATACATTTTATCATTCTGACTATAACATGGTATAGTAGAAAGAAACAAATCTGGGCTTGAATCTCAGCTCCACTATGATTGGTACTGCCTTCAGCAAAAGACCTGTAGGTGCCTCAGTTTCCTCATATATAAAATGGCAATAAAAATGATTAATGAGCAGAGCTGTCGAAGAGATTAAAGGTAATATATATAAATCCCTAACCATCAACACATGGTAGATATTTTTTATTACAACATCCTGCATATTCAATAACACAAATCCTACGTTTAGTATGTGTATTTCTGTGTAGTTCTGATTGGTTTTCTTTTCCAAAGCCAAGGAATGGTAGAGTCCAGGATTCAAGGGACAAGCCTAGATATACCCATAAAAGGAGGGGGAATGTTCTTACTAACATAAGATTCCACTGAAGAGTAAAAAAAGAATTTGTTTTCACCTTACATGAAGTCTACAAGTCCACTGAAATTGCAAACACAACATGGGAATCTTACCAGCTTTGTACCAATTGAACTGATGGAGTCCTGAGAAGGTTATCTGGAAGAAGACTTATTTCTTTCATTATATTTGCCAATCTAACAGGCAGCTCTTGCCGCAGAAACATAAATGAAGTCTTTTCACAAGCATTCATAGATCCTAAAACCAAACACGGTAGGAACAGCAATAAGTAGAGCCCATAAGGCACAGAAGCCAAGAGGCAAGGAGAAACACAGTTACTGGGCAATGTCAGAGTGGCAGCATCACCATAATGAGAGGGAAAGGAAGAGGAGGCAAGGGACAAGATAACCCAGGGTTGTGCGGCATCCTAAATGACCTCCTAATTCCTGACATTGTTTTGTAGATTGACGAAGATACTTTCCTGTCTCCATCACTTGCATCCTTACTGGGATCATCTTAGAACCAAGGGAACCTGAGCAAGTCTGAGCAAGCCTGAGCAAGGCGTGGAATCTAATTAAGAGTAGCACCTGCCAAAGCCTACCCTATGTAACCTGTTGCTGCTATTATTTTGAAAATCTGTTTCCTAACTCCAGCTTTATAAGAAATGAATACCTAAGATAAACAGAGAAATGTTATCATATACTTGGGAACCATGAAAAGCAAGACTCAATGTAGAGGAGGGCTTTCAGGCAGCAGAAAGCAAAAAATACCAATGCCTGTTCAGCAACAATCTTCAAGCTTTGAATCCCTGCAGCACCTCTCCCCAACCACTCACTGCCCCCCACCAACCCGATTTTATTCAATTGTGTGATTCCTGGACTTCACTCCCATCAAGAAGCTAAGCAGAACAGTTGTAGAATAGCCTTTGGCAAGCAGTTCCATTTGAAGTTAAACTAACTTGTTATTTCAGCAATGTGTTTTAAACTCATGAATTTAATCTTGCTGTTTTAGCAAGAGGCAACTTAGCAAAAACTAGATTGTCCATAGCAGGAATTGCCGAATTAAAGGAAAGCATTTTCTTGTGAAAATTTAATAGGATACCGTGAACAAGACCAAACTCACCCCTTAATCACACTACAATCATTTTAAGGTAAAAGCAAAAAACCCAGGGCTTTGCCACCCCCCAAATTGCCACTGTACACCACAATTTTAAGATAAAGCTGCCAGCTATGCTGATATCTTTTGAGCCCACTAATGATCCCTTACTGACTTACTCAGTACTCACAATGCAGAAGATAACTTTTTCTACTGAAATTTTACTTTATTGGTTTATTAGTTTTTCCTTCCCCTTCCAACCCCCCCCCATGAGAAGTCTAAGTTAAAAGCCTAACTTTGCAAATTTCTCTGCAATCTGTTGCATCCTTTCCAGAGAAAATCAAGAAGCGTCCACCAGAGGAAGCGCAAAGTGGATAGTCGCTTCTGCAAGGTGAAATGTGGCAATCCCCACAGCACTAGTGTTCACGCAGTTTACACGTGCTCAAGACTGCTGATGATGAAATTAATGTGCTGTTGGTGGAAACGCTATTAGGCAAGCGGCACGGAAAACATTCTATGAAACACTCAGGCCAGTTATAACTTGCTTCTCCATTCATCACGTCAATTTTATGCAATCATCATTGTACAAAGCTGAGCATTTATCATCACTGTGAAGAATCCGAACACGACTCCCGGAGGTGTGCACACACTTGCTTCCAGCCGGAGCTCAGCTCTTCGGAAGGGACCTGGCAGAGCGCGCCGTTCTGCACACGTGCGCTGAAAGGCGGGAGGTCATTCCGCCCGCGGCCCTCCGGGTTTGTTTTTCAACAATACACGGTCAAAATGCACACGCCCCCAGTTATTTATCCCGCCCGCCGGCGCCAGCACCTGAGCTAGAGGATCTGTCCGCAAGGGGGGAAGGAAGCGTCTCAAGCGTTGGGGGAGAGACGTTACGGAGGAGGGGGTGCGCCGGAGGTGAGAGGGGGCCTGCGCCGGCCGGGCCCGGCCCGGGTCAGGGGCCGCATTTCCCCGCGCAGGGCCGCGCACAAAGGCCCGAGGCCCGAGCCCCACTCACCGAAGTCCAAGAACTGCTTCATGGAAAGCGGGGACGGCGAGAAGCGCGCGTAGAAGTCCACCTGACCCGGAACGCCGCTCTCGGGCGCTGGCCCCGAGCCCGAATCCGAGCTGAGGCTGCGGCTGGCGCCGGCGGGGCTAGCTGCGCGCAGCCCGGAGCCCAGGCCGGCCGAGGCGGCTCCGCGCAGCAGCCGCGTCAGCCTCATGCCGACCCCCGCCGGAGGAGCCGGAGCAGCGGCCGCCAGGTCGCCGCTCCGCGCCTGGGCCGGGCGGTACGTGAGGGACGTGGCGACCCTCAGGGGCGGGGAGCGGCTGTCACCGCCGCGGCCGCCGCCCCCTCGCCGGAGCCCGGCCCCCTGCGCCGCTAGGCGGGACCCAGAAAGGGAGGCGGGGAGAGAGGCGGGACCGTGTGCGGGGTCCGCCCATGGGCCGAAGTCCAGCCCCCGCGCGCCTGGGCGGGGCCGGTGAGCCAAGGGGCAGCTAGTGTGTGCGCAGCTCTGCGGGCCGGAAGCCGCGGGCGCCGGAGTGTTCCCGGTCTCCGCAGTCCCCGACCCGCCCCGCGGCGCAGCTGGGAAGCCCGCAGGTGGCGGCGGCACCCGGGCTGCTAAGCCGGGCTCGCCCTATGGTGCGCCCCGTTCCTACGCTCCTTCGGAGCGAACCACACCTTCCTGCTCCCTGTACCCCCCCCCAGCCTCTGCCGAAAGCCTCAAGGACCCGGCCGCGCGCTCCGCTTTCCATAACGGTGTGCTGCTGCGAGTCCGAGTGCGAGCCAGAAACTCCACTGGGATGCAAGCTCCACGTTTCACAGGTAAAAAGAAGCCAAGACCCAGAAAGCTTCAAGATCTGACCCTTGCCAAGCAGCGGTACAAAAATGCGAATGAAGCCTGGGGAACGTATCCCTAAATATTACCAGCGACTGCAGACCCAGAAGATGATTGGCAGCCCAACTTGAAGCTTCAGGTGTAGGCCTCTTCGGCACGGTCAGCAACCACGATGAGGCGTCCCTCCCCTTGACTGACATTCTCTTAACGTCTTCTCAGCTTCACAGTTTGCCTGTTCCAGCTTTTCCTCTTCTCCAATTTCCTCAACTTATGATGGGGTTGGATATGGTAAGTTGAAAATGCATTTAATACACTTGTCCAGCATCATAGCTTAACCTAGCCGACCTTAAGCGTGCTCGGAACACTTCCGTTAGCCAACAGTTGGGCAAAATCCTCTAAATCAAAGCCTATTTTATAGTAACACTTTACTGATTAACTACCCCGAAAGTGAAAAGCGGAATGGCTGTACGTGGGTTGTTTACCCTGGGGATTGTAGGGCTGAGTTGGAGCTGCTGCTGCTGCTGCAAGCATCACGAAAGAATATTGTATCCCATTTCAGCTTGCTTGGGAAAAGATTAAAATTCAAGGTATGATTTCCACTGAATGGGTATCAGTTTCTCACCATTGTAAAGTGGAAAAATCGTAAGTTGAACTGTTGAAAATCGGGAACTGTCTGTAGTGAATCCAGGACTAGACAATTTCTCATATTGGTTTAACCCGATAGAGCTGCAAAGGCAGCAATCTATGCTGAAAATTCCCACAGCTGTCCCTTCTCTCCAGGGCTACTTCCCCATATATCCATCCCCAGGGCTTTGGTATGTCTTAACTTTTGAAAAATTACTTTTTCATGGGTAGTTTATCAATAAAACATGTATACATCTATATCTCCAGCAGTTACTGGTGTAGAATAACAATTCATTTCTCCATAGTGGTCAGGTCTTGGGTTATATAAAGTATATGTATAAAGAATGAGAAGACAGTCTCTTTTTAGGCTGTGTTAGTCCCACAAGGTTAGCTTGAAGAACAGTGCCCACCTGGAAACAGGTGTAGGTAGTTGAGGGAATGGGGTGGAAACAGCACCTGAACATAGTCTCTGAAAGCGGTGCCTCTAACAGTTTTTTCAGGTATCTATTAACATGGTTGTTGTTATGACTTTGGTGAAAATATCTTAGAGGAAGTAGTATGAACATAAGACGATGAGATATGTAGAGAAAGTAAGAGTGGTGGTATCTCTTTCATACCTTTGCTGTTCCACCGGAAATGCTCTGTATCCTCCAAATTTGGCCTTGCTTCATCCATTCTGTGAATGCTTGTTGAATGCTTCCTGTAGGTACCAGGCAATGTTCTGGGTGGCTGGGAATAAAGCCACATGCAATTCAGATACGATCCTATATTCAGATATGCCTGCTCTTAGCATATGCTGTAGGGTCTGACACGGTAGAAGAATTTTATACCACACCAGTATTAGAGCGTCTCCTCCATGGAAGAAGGATTAGAGTTGTTTTGAGTGGCTGAAACAGCTGATGGGAGTCTTACGGGTAGAAACCATAGGAAACAGATTTGACTCACGTATGGGAAAACTTTGGATGGTTATCACCGTTTGACTGTGAACTGGCAGCCTTAGAGTACCAGGGGGTTCTTGTCAGTTATCATTAGCATCTAGAGCGGTTTTGTAATAACACTGCAGGGAGGGTTACAGGAAAGCAGTATGGTGTAATGAAAAGAGCCTAGTGTCTGGTTTCAAATCCAGGCCCTGCCATATACTAGCTCTGTAGTCTTGAGGGAGTTACTTAAACTGTCTGAGCTTCAGTGTCCTTACCTATAAAGGGGGAAAATTACTGTCTCCTTCAGTGACTGTGATATGCATAGTGTAGCTGTCTGTGTTAGCGCAAAGCCCAGGACGTACCAGACCCTCAGTAAATGGCATCTATTTTTTTTTTTAAATCATTGTTGCTGTTTTTTTGTTTTGTTTTACTTTTTTAAGATTTTATTTATTTATTTGACAGAGATCACAAGTAGGCAGAGAGACAGGCGGGGGGTGGGGGGGAGCAGGCTCTCTGCTCAGCAGGGGCTCGATCCCAGGACCCTGAGACCATGACCCAAGCCGAAGGCAGAGGCTTTAACCCGCTGAGCCACCCAGGCGCCCCACTGTTGCTGTTGTTGTTATTATTATTATTTCCTGATTAGGATTTTATCCGAACAGCTCATACTCATGTTTTGCCTAAAGCCAACTTTACCAAAGGTTTGGGATAAAACAATTAAAATTTAAATATTAGTCATCCTTAAAATATTGTCTCTCAACCATTTCTACAACTCTGCTCCAGCCTCTGTTTGGTTACCTTCCTTTTCCTTCCTTCTATACCACTCCCTGAACTCCAAAATCTTAACTAGTACCCACAGTATTATTCAGCTCCCTTGACCCCTGTTTGCAACTCTGCTGCTTTCGCCCTGAGCATGTCAAGGTGTTCAGCTGAACAGTAACTTCTGTAGAAGCACAAAGGCCCAGCAAAATCTTGAGGTTTATTTTAGCAACTTCATTCTCCCAGAAACCAATCCGACTGTGTGGTTTTTTTCTTTAAAGATTTTATTTATTTGTTTGTTTGTTTGTTTGTTTGTTTGAAGGAGAGTGAAAATGAGCGGGTGGGAGGGTGGACAGGGGAAGCACAGGGAGAGGGACAAGCAGACTAGGCCCTGAGCCCGAGCCTGATGAGGGGCTTGATCTCACCACCCTGAGATCATGACCTAAGCGGGAACCAAAGGCTGGATGCCACTCCCCCCCCCCCCCCCCCCCCCCCCCGTTCAACTGTTTAATGAAATGTTTTTTTCTTTTTTCCAAAGTGATGTAGAAAAGAAGTTAGGGTTCAAAGCTGATGGGCAAGAAAGAATTCTTGAGATGCCTTTGGTGCAAAAAGGTGGTTTTATTAAAGCACAGACAAGACCCCTGGGGCAGAAAGAACTGCCCTGGGGTCATAAGGGATGGATGGTCCATTGTATACTTTGAAGTTGGGAAGGGGTTAGGAATAGTGTAAGCTTCCCAGGTATTTTGGAAATAGGGTTTCCAGGATACTGAGGGGGCTTGGTATTGTTAGGAAAGGTCATTTACTACTGTTTAGTAGAAACTTAGTCATGAGACCCTTCAGATGTATATTGGTGGGTCATATGCTTGGGGGATGATTGCCAACATGTATCTTGGCCAGGGTAGAGATAAAGTAAGCTTCCAAAGGAATTTTTTTATGTTAAAGTAGACTTACAGGGTCCCGGGGGTTGGGTTAAGATTGCCTTTTGCCCTTAGCAAAGCATTAACATCGAAGCAGTGGAGTCCCAGAGGAATGTCACTCTACCCATCTCAAGGACCTGGCAATGGGCTGCAGGTAGTAAGGAAATTCAATAATTTTTCTTCTGCGTTTGTTTCCTACATCAGAAATATATTCACCGAACTTCCACCCAATATCCAGAGACTGAGTATATGAAAACACATAAAAAATGGTATCAACATTTTGCTTTTTGGTCAAAGACTTAGTGTCCAGAAGCTGAAGAGAACATTATATTTTTTTTCAGGTATTTGTTAACATGATGGTTTTTAAGACTATGGTAAAAATATCTTAGAGTAAGCAGTTGTAGGGAAGGAAAAAAAAAAATGTCCTTCCCTGTCAGGTTTTTCCAGCTGCTTTAAGGATTAAATTGACACGAGACAGATTAATAGGAGAAAAACCCAAGATTTATTATGTGTACACAGAGACCCAATAATGAAATTGACACCCAAAGAAATGACCATGGCAGGCAGAGTTCATACATTTTAGACAAAGAGACAAAAAATTTGAAGTATTGACAGCCTAAAGAAAACAGATGTTTGGGAGCTTTTGTTAGTAAGGAATTCTAAGATTTGGACTGAGGTTGTAGATTAGTAAAAAGGAACAAGGTATGTTTCTACAGCTTTAAAGTTTCTGTGGGTAGGGATGTCTTTTTACTTCTTAATAAAGCGTAGGTACCTTTCACACAGAAGATTTACTTTGGGCCTTCAGGGGATACAGGGAAAGTCTGTCTTTTTCCAAGTAGCTTCAATTCAAAATAACCAATGTGCCACTGTGGCATATTTTAGGGTGGCCTGCCTTGGGCCCCTCCAGTTCCCATAGAGAAGCTGAGCTGGTGACTATAGAGAGACAAACTGAGTTAGTAAATGAGTGGTAAGAGATCTGCAAAGAGAAAAAGGAATATAGATGAGAATGAGGACGAACCAACAGAGAAGAACAAGTCTGAGCCCTTTCCTTCGCACCCCATTAAACTAACCCCCCAGCCCCAGAGATGGATCAGTCCTATAAAATGTCCGTGCTTTGTTTATCTGCTGAAAATATTAGGCCTTTCTTCTAACATATAAGTTAGGTAAAACTTGTCCCATTTGGTTTATGCGGAAAGAACACTTTTTCACCAGAGACTGCCTAAGTCCCCCTGTGCTGGGCTGCCAGCGTGTGTCAGGTATGAGGATTTTGGACTTCCCGAGAGACTAAGCTGTTAACTTCTGACTGGAGTCATTTCAGAGTTCTTGTAGTGGTATTGAACTCTTACTCCACTACGTAGGGAGGCTTAGGATTGCCTTTTCTAATTCATGATCTCCAAGATTTGGGAAGAAAGACCCTAAATGCTGAAAAGAAGGTGGACTTGTGATATACAAGTAGAATTTCTATGATTTTTCAACAGGCATATTTATATGGCATAATTTTACGAACAAAGGAGCCCAAGCCTGTTGTTAGCATTTAGGGTGAAGTGTTTAGTGACAGGAGCCAGGTATCAGTCCATATTGTCCTGAACACTTAGGTGGGAACGCTTTATACACCTCGTTGCCACATAAAATAAAAAGAGGGGTATGATTTACAGACAAGGTCAGGTTGAAACCTGTAATTTTTGAAGCCTGGAGCATTCCATGACCTTTGCCATTGATTATGTTAATGTCCGTACATCTCTATTTTTCATGTGGTCTTACCAGTCTATGAGAGCAGAAGAGGCTGTAAACTAGCTGATGTAGGTCTGGAGTTTGCTTCTGGCAGCTGTAAAGCTTACTTTTGCCACCCAGCCAAGGAAATCTGCAATTTCCATCCATCCAAATACAGTTTGTGGTATTGGGCAGTCTAACAAGAGGGGCAACTGAGCTACCGCCTCTCGTACAAGGCTGTTATGTAAACCATTGGGTGATCTGGCAAACTTTTATGCTAGGGTTATTTTTAACCTCCTTGCTGAGTTTGAAAATGCCATTTTCAGCATCAAATCAGAGAGTTTGATTGTAATTGGTATAT